CCCCCTGCTAACACGAAGGCTGGACTCGAACCGCTGTAGCGTCGACCATTTCTGGCCGGGAACTTTCAGCGTCATTAAGCCGCTGCGCCACCGCGTCCCCCTTAATTACGTATGTTACGCTTGAGTAAACTTCTTTGTTGAACATGCGTGTCACGAGAGTTTCTCTAGACGAATGGGGTAAACCTTACACACATATGTATTTTACAACAAAACATACACATACTTGGGTGGTAGGCCTCTTCTTGCTTACAGGCAGTTGCTTAATCTAAAACAGTTACTAACTAGCAACACAGCCAACACAAGGTACATTAATTTATTTACTTGTTCTGTTTTTTAACCATTTATGCATAATTTAGAATTGTCCACTTCATTTTCCATATCAAACCTGACTACCTTGGTTTTCAATACACTAATTTTCAGGTCAACATTCCAAGTTGCATCATGCATCTAATGTTCATTGCAAATCATCTGGGTTGTCAGCCAAAAGCACACCATCAAGTGCATATAAAAGTACACACATGTTCATATTCCCAGCCAACACACCTCTAATGTAGGCATAGCCAGAGACATCAGACATCCTTGTTGTGATATGTTCTTTTAGGGGATGGTACAGACCACAGACAAGGGATTAATTTTATTTCCTTTGTGGGGAAGTTTTATTGTACAAAAATAAACATTTATTTTACTAATGCAGTTATTGCTTTTCTAATTATTATTAGAGCTATGTTCTATGTCTATTTCCATTATTTTATTTCTTATTACTATATTTATACCTTATTTCTCTATAGTTGCACTCTTAATCCAAGTCTATAGCTGGTATTTCTGTTCTTATTACCTATTTTCATCTATTATCTATATTTTTATATTCTTTATTTGCAAGTTATCTCTATAAACAACAATGTATCTTCTACTTGTTAGGCACAGACAAGTTAAAGAAATCATAGAACTATTCCAAAAGCAAATAACATCCATATTTTAATATTTCTCCAGTTACACCTTCAACACCTATAGCCTTACTATTTTTCAACATACTCACAGCTTTTATTACATCCTTTTCATCAATTCTCTTCTTGGACTCTAGTATTTGTAGCAATTATTCAATTCCACTCCTTAACACATAACTATCTTTTCTATACAAATATTTAAAATAGTCCTTCTGGCATTCTCTCCCTTCAGCTTCATTCCAAATCATTTCATCACTTTTATTCTTAATTCTATTCACTCTGTGGAAGACTTAATTTTAAAATCTTTTTAAAAACTTTCAGCTAAATAAAGGTGCTTCCAATTAAATTTGGCAGACATATTGAAAAATTATACACGAGTAATATAATGAACAAATTGTTTACAAAACATACATTGAAGACTTCTTCGATTTGGTCATCTTTGATAATAACCCCCAATGCTTATTTAAAAAAAAGTTTAAGGGGAATAAATGTATTCCCGTCAATTATAGTTTTAATCAGTTCCTAATAATTTCAATCTTAACTTTGTTTCAGGCTAAATTATATACCATAAGTATTACAAGAGTAGAAGGTACAGGTACCCAAGCACACTGACTCTACCCCTAAAGGAAAATGCTCATCTGCTACAGCCTGATGCTTTTGTTAAGACATTAGAAGTATTTACTTATTACAAAATAAAGGCAGGATAAAAATCTAAGAATGAATGAATGAATGAATGAATGATCCTTGCCAATTCAAGCTGGAGAAAACCTACTTGCTAGGTCTAGGGAACAACAAATTCTTCCTTGTAGGAAGGCAACTTCCCTTGGAGATTCCTGGTGTTTACCAGTTTTGCCTATTGTTCTTTACTATGTACTTACAGCTCTTGTCTAAGTCTTCTAATCTTTGCTTTGGCATCTGCTAATTCCACTGATAAGTGTTGTCTACTTTCAGTGCATTTCATTCCTGGAGATCCACAAGGTGATTGTGCTGCTGATGCATGAGGTAGAAAATGAACAGAGTCTCTTTCTTCAGAAAGCTCTATGATAGTCTATGACATAAAAAAGTATTTTTCAGATAGGTATATGAGAGTAGAAACATTTCAAGTTTTGCAAATGGTTACTTAGCAATTTTATCTCTTCATTTCATTAATAATTGACAAAACACTAAATAATAGAACTGAAAATTGATGACAATACCTCAGAATGCTCATCTCGCTCATCTATAAGTCTTTTTAAATGCAATGCCATGTTTTTTAGGAGAGGTTCAATATATTCTTGTGCCAGAGCATTGTCATCCATCCACTGGAGATCAAACACATTTTCCTGATTATGAGTTACCTACAAAGGATAAAATCACAATGATGTAAAACTATTATATTTGAATAATTAGATTACTAAAATTTGTACTCATTAAGTGTAATTGAATGTGAAAGAAAAGATGTGAGGTTCAAGCTTATTTTAATAAACAAATTATGTGCATTTAATCTATTTTTAGAAATATTCTGCAATATACTATATTCTTAGAAAAATTCACTTTTGAAGTTATCAGTGAGGCCAATTATTCACTGAGTCCAAAGCCTTCCATTTTTTGTCCATTTTCACATACTGTACTGTTTTTTCCTCTTTTTCTTTCCTGACTGCTGCATTACCTTATAAATTTTTTAGCGTTTCTCTTGTCTTTCTAAAACCGTATTTTCTCCTCTCCTTTGCTCTAATTAGAAATTAACTCTCATCTATTAGTGATTTCTCTAGTTTCTCTTCCAACTCATTTTGCCAGGGGAAAATAGCCTATGCATTTCAAGTCTTAGCTTAATCCTGTAGACATTAAAATGCAAACAGTGAACATGGGATAATTAATTTTTTATAATTCATCTTTTCAATCATTGTAGACTGCTCTATGCATTTGGAATATGTTGAATAATTTAATATACTACCTAAAATATCTCCATTTTTATCTTCATATTTTCTTGAAAGGGCTCATTCCTGGTATCTCATCTTCCTTACCTCTGTGCATAAACAGAAAGGACATATCCCAACAAGTGATAGAATTATTCTTGTTTAGTCTAATGAACACACACCCTACCACCAACTAGAAAAGAAACAAAAGTGTTGTCTTTGCACCAAGTTTCCTGATCTTCCTCGTAGCCACAACTAATACATACTTCATTAATCTATTTTTTTGATTTTTGGAGATTTTGGAGATTGTAAGGGATGTCACTTCATCTAATCCTTTCAATGTTTCTTCGCTTGATGTATTTTCTAACTTATATAGTAAAATTCTACAGGCTTATCTTGATAAGAACAATTTTGATGAATCCTAGATGACAACTCAATTTCGAACAGGACCATATTTATGGCCAGAAAGAATAATTCCTACATTGATTTGCTACCTTATACAATCTGATGCACTTGAGATATTCTGGTTATACATATGCAAAACATCAAGAGGGGGACAGCTGTCCTATTGGGCTCAATGAGATTTATTCTTAATTATAGGATTTTTAACTCAGTGCTTATTTTTGTGAAATCACTCGTAAGTTACCATAGACACTGAACTAAAATTCATTAGTTTTGAATGAGATTTTATAATGGTCAAGGCAGACATGCTTCGTCTACACTTAATACAGCTGAGAAACAGTACCAATGTTGTTAGCAGTGTTTTTCACAATTAATGTAGAAATCAGCATTTTCATTTTCCATATATCATTACTATCATTAGTCTATTACTTTTTTCTCTGTTTCCTTTATTCAGTCTATTTAAGTCTACATACTTAAGCGAACAGAATTAGCAGTGGTCTTCCTGAATTATCTTCTGGAAACTATCCATCAGAAAGGGCAGCAACTATATCAAATGTGGCCCCCAAATCCTATACAAACCAGATGGCCTGGAATAATAGCATCGTGTAAGATCAAAAACCTCAGTGTTCTAGAGCGTTTCTCCTCTGTTTTGGGGGCACAAGTCAATTTCTAGAGCAACCAAGCAATTTAATCTCCCAAATCCAATTGAAACACATCTAAATTTCATGCAAAGAACTGGAGTTTAGTCAGCATAAAATACTCAAATACTCTGTTGAAAGGGAAACTTGAAACTTGTAAATTGTTACTTTTCAGCTGGGTCAAGTTATGAAAGGGTTTCACCTAAAATCCTTGCCCACAGAACTTTTAAATAAATAAAAATTCAGTTACTCTCCTCTCTCAATCTTATCTCCAGGTGAAAACATAGCTAGCTTCTTTCATTCTTCTTTAGTGAAACTGACCACTGCTAATTCTGTTGCTTAAGCCCCTCACTATCATTCTTACTTTCTTGTTCCAGTTTAGCAACACTCAGACTATTCAGGAGATATCTTATCAAATAAGACTGAAGCAGTGCTGCTCCATACCCCATTGTAATTAACTCCAACTTCTCAGACTTGATCTAATGTATTTAATATTTCAAGATAGGCATGGACCAAGAAGACCAGATGGGTTTCATAGTAAGAACTCAAATAATGTACAAGTTCTAGTTTCTTCCCTGCCTTTATTTCCCTAGAAATAATAATTGACTTTCTAAGAATATGATGTCCAGGTACAGTTTTATTGATATGTAATCTGTGAATTCCATAAATCAATTTGTGTAATAACAGGATCACCTCCAAATCAGCAGGAAAATCCCACAAAAATATCGGTAAAAAATCAGATCCACGCGATGGGTTGTTCTAACATGAGTCAGCCCTATGAGGCAGAAGCTCTGCAGGAAGGCTAGAACTATACTTTATTGAGATAGCTATAGTAACAGAATCTTGTAAGTCTGCCTATGTTTTCCCTTCCCTCCCTTTTATACCCCAAAAAGTCAGGGGGGAGCCAGTTTGAGTACTTTTCCAACTCTCTGAGCTTAATGCATGTTTCTGCAACTGTTGCTGCTTTAACAACTTCTCAATGGCTTCTCCGAAGTCATATTCTTGGCTCCTTACATAGGCCAATCAATCCTATGGGAAGAAGTGGCTACTCTTCTTTTATATTTAATAAGAAAGTGCCTACATAATCTTTTTCAAATATAATACACATTCTGCAGAATAAAATATTATCAAGACATATGACTGCATTCAAAATATTTTTTAATAAATTAGGATTTTATAATAGTAAACAAGATATTACCTCTTGTATATGGGCGGCAACAGCTGCTCTTACATCAAAATCTAAACTCTGTATTCTTTCAATGAATTCTTCTTTCTTCTGGCACTAAACATAAATATTAATCAGCATTTATTCTATAGGTAGTTAAACAGAATAATTAAAAACATCCTTCACCTTTTTCCTCAGTAATGCAGTACACCTGAAATATCTAATGAACACACTCCAGCATAAAAAATAAGTACTTACAGGAAGATTTGTGATTTGTTCCTCCCTCATCATGCTTTATATTTTACTGTCTTTTGACTCCTTTGTGAATTTAGTGTTCACAACTAAAAAAATACTTCCAATTATCGCCTTCCTAGTCCCAATAAGCACTAGCCATCATGGCTCTCTGTTAGATTAAAACAGCAATCAATAGGTCTACCTTAAAAGTTTCTACTACAGTGCAGTGGAATTACGTTATATTGTCATTTTTATTAAGCTTTGATTCCAAATCCCCCATTTCTGCTTCTTTTATTGAAATATCTTTCTTTAATTTACTTAAAGACCTTTATTTAGAACAGGGATGGGAAATATATTGCTAAATTATAACTTCTAGCTTCTCTGGTTACTGGTCATGCTGGCTGGATCTGCTGGGTGGTTCTCTATCCCTGATTTAGAGGCTATTAAGTGTCAGCCCCACTAGTTAGCCCATATCAGGAAATCAACTCCACAAAAACACTAAAACTACTTTTGAGATTGGCTATAAAAAATGCTTCAGCCCCTTTGCTTAGGCAATGGTTCCTGTATGACAAGGCCATCTTCCTTATTCTATACACTAACTCCCTGAAAGCAGTCTCTCAGAATAGCACTATTCATTGAAGCTTTAACATCCACTTGTGTCCTTTGCTTTGTTAACAATATTACTGGAGCCTTACAGCCACCTTTTTATGGACTAAAATATCCTGAGGGGCCATTTCTTGCTTTATAATTAGAGTTTTTGGGTGTCTCCCAATCCAGGGGATTTAAATATGCAGTATTATTTGGTGAGTCTTTCCACAATAAGCATTCATAAGAAAAAGAAGAAGAAAAGATGAAGATGAAAAGCATTCATAAGAAAACCTGTTAGCCATGTTTAATTATAACTCCATTCATAAAACTAGGAATGTGAGGACAACATTGTAAGCACCACTCAAGTAAACATTATAAGCAGTTCTGTAAATTAGCAGACCTTACCTGAACAGCACAGCCAAGCAGAAGTAGAAGGAGTTTTTTTACTTCTTCAGTCCCTTGTTCTGAAAATATTTTTTAATATTTTAAAATAATATACTGGTTTACATTTGTAGTAATATTGAACAGATTCTGTTTCTCTTTCCATCACTATTTTTAAGTTTATGGGCTAGCACCAGTTTGTACCATGTTAAGACATATGGCTGTTACTGCAGACTGGCAGTATGATGTGAGAGAATTTGGGGGACAAGCTACCCCTTCTTCAGTACTGAACAACACAAAACTGCTTTCCCAGGGCTATATAACTAAGCACTGAGCATCTCTTTCTTTAGTTTTAAGAAATTCCTTTTAACTCTACACCTACAGTCAATGAGCAGCATACCATAGGTATAGATATTCCAGTTTTGACATTTTTTTGTTTTTGGATAATATTTTCTTAGTATCCAAAACTGTCAACAGCTCCAAACATGACAGAGATTCTCTTTCCCCCACTTATACCATGAAAATCAAGGCAGGGCAATCTTGAGTTTGTGGAGTCCTTGGTGTTCAACCCTGTTCAACAGTTCAACCCTGAGCTACATATATTCTCTTCTACTGGAATCTTGAATTTCTTTCTCCCTCCCTCCTTCCTTCCAGAGCTGCGCTGGCATTTACCTAACAACTGCTGAATTCCTTCTTCAAGGCCATCTCCATACTCCTCTACACTGCATTGAGTGATTACAATATAGCAATAAGTGGGTTAAAAATTAGAGCCATTCCCACAAAATTACAAATCACACAACATCTTACAATTTAGGGATAGTATACTACATTCAGTTCCAGATGCCTTCATGAAGAGCCATGTTTTCACAGCTGTTTGGAAACATAATATAGAGCGTAGTCTGGGGGTAAGCTGTTCCAGAGGAAGGGGGCATCACCAAGAGTCCTCAATCACAGAGTCACTGAAGATGGCATTCTCCCAGTGATGGTATATCCAGTAAGCTTTCTCTTTGTATTTTACCAGGCAGACAAATGCAACCCAGAAAAGCCCTGACCTATATATGGCTTTAAAGGTTACAGCCACCACTGAATTGCACCCAGAAGCTGACTGGTACCAATGTAGCTCCCGTAGTAATAGTATTTCATGGGGGAACTTTGGTGTGCCAATAACTACTAAGATTGCTGCATGCTGAACCAGTTTTAGTTTCCAAATGGTTTTCAAGACTAGGTCTATGCAGAATGTTCTGCAACAGTCCAGACATGAGGTGACAAGGGCAGGGCTGACAGTGTGCAAGCCTCCTGTTCTAGAAATGAGCACAACTGGCACACAAAATGTTACTGCTCCACCTACTTGTAATATAATAAAGAATCCGCCCTATATCCTGTTCAGAATTCAATTCTTAGGACTGATTAATCTAAGAAAACTTACAGGAAACATCTGTTTCTGATGATTAGCTTTCTATAAATCACCAAGTAATCAGTATTAAAGGAAACCTTGATCTGCTCCTATGAGCATATCAGGGGCTTAAAAATATTAAGGGTAAGGCTGAAAAGTGTAGAATGAAAGTTTGGTTCTTTAAAGTAAGAGTTAGTTGCCAACTCAAAGCAAGATCTGTGAATTTTGTTATGCTGTTGAATAATTTACGGTCAAACTCAAATCTTCCTGAACGTCTGTTTAGTGCAGAACGTGTGGCTTTTAGTAATTTATCCTTCTCCATTATAAGCATTACCAACATTTTTAAACAATTAAACTGAATGCTTCCTAAATCTATAAGTATTTTAGCAATATCCCTTCTTTATATTACCTTTATTTTGAAATGTTGGAATCTAAATGCAAAAATCAGTAAATCAATATATAATTAAAAAGAATAAATGAGATTAAAAGCTTTTTTATGTAAAGAATTAGGACAGTACAGGTAGTCCTCATTTAGTGATAATTGAGACCAGCAACTCAGTCATTAAGTGAAGTGGTTGTTAAGTGAAACAGTGACTGTGCTAATATTCTTACTTCAGTTTTCTTTTGCTTTACAGACCTGTTGTAAATGCAAGGATTGGTTGTAAGGTTAGTTTTCATTATCATCGTAACTGCAAACGGTTGCTAAATGAGGCAGTCACTAAACGAGGACGACATGTATTAAGCAATCGAAGTATTCTTTCTAGAGATGTTCTGTCTACTATTTTTATCCAGTTTTTCCTGGATGGTTAATTCTTACCCAAATTCAATTCCACACTAAATACAAGAGAAATGTAGTAGCTAACCCTCAGTTATGAATCAGAAAGTTTCTGTCTCAAATCTTGCCTTTGTCACATGGATGATTTTAACTGAGCCACCTTCTCTCCCAGCTTCAAATGGAGAATAGTACTGACTTATTTTGCAGAGGTAATGTAAGAACCACAAGTATATATATTTGTGCATTACAAACACACAATGCACATAAAGCCATATAAACATTTGACAGTATTATACAAAATTGTTAATAAATATTTATGATTGTCAGACTTCAGGTCAGGCACAGAAATAAATTTTGACTCATTAGACATTCAATTCCATATTCAGAAACTTGCTTACAGCCTAAGCTCACCGATACAACATTGCTAAATTTACTACAAACAAAAATGAAGCATAGTTTCTCCAAAGCACAGTAACAAAACCCTACACACACACACTACAGGGTTTATATTCAAAACTCCCTCCCCCCACTTTTTCTGAATCAAAGCATAGTTGGGTTGGCTATTCTTTTCAATGCGATGGAAGACAAATGAGATCCATTTACATAATGTTCCTCCCTAGCCTAAGAACAGCTATTTATTGCCTTGTCAGCGTCAACAAATAATTATTTATGAGATAATGCCTGTTTTAAACCGGATGCAATGCTTACCTGAAAAGGGGTTTTTTCCAATTATTAAAACATTTGGCAAATGCATCAAGATCAACTGCTGCAATGTCTCCTATGGAAACAAATTTAAATTTTTATAAAAGCTATATAAAGGCTGGACTTTCCATATGTCACTGACATCACTTGTTCTTGACAGATTGTATTAAAATAAGCAGTAAAATTATTCCTTATTTACAAGGACTTATACTGTATGAGCTCCAAGAAAGTCACCATATCTTTTCTATATGTATTTAAATGCATCTACATTAGAGGTTTCACTTTTTGTAAAACATGAAATACTCAGAATATTTTTCTTATACATTTCTTTCTTACAGAAATTCTGCAAATATTTTTCTTATAAATAGATATTCTTCAATTTATTGCTTGTTTTGGACACTTTTATTATCATATTATTGCTTATGTCTTATGGAAAAATAATATTAAACAAGAAGATCTAGAAAACATATTAAGGAATATTTAGGTACATATTCAAATCAACCTATATCAGAAGTTTTAATGATCAATATTGGAAATTAGTTCCAATTCCAATATTAAGGACTTCAAGCAGAATATTTTTTGAATTGTATGAAGCAAAGATACTGGGAATGAAGTGAAAACTGGGCAGATTATTAATCTCTCAACTGCAGTGACTAAAGCAATTTGTAGTTGTAATTTTTTTCTACTTTTAGAGACACTTTCACTACAACTCAGATGCAATAAATGAGCATTTAATTTTTTTTAGTCTTGACTATACAATATAGAGTCAAATCTAAGAGGAAGAAATTCATGTAATTACTATAATGTAAAATGTAAGAGGAAGAAATAATGAAGTTTTTTAAAGACCATGTGTAATCCAGGTGCCAATTAGCTGCATCTTTATCTCTCCAAGAAATAGATATCATTAAATCCAGAGGCATCTGCAGCGGCTGTCAATGTCATAATGGTGGGCACTACTGGGCAGGTGAAGTCTTGGCCCTTTTTAACATGGATCGCCTACATCACACAAACATAAAAAGGGACAAGGCTTTGATTACCCAGTTGTGCCTGCCATTTTGATATCACTGCCAGCCCTTGCAGAGACCCAATTAAATCCATGAAAACAAGAAAGCTCCTTGACCTACTTCTTTCTCACTGTTAATTATGATGCTTTTTAAAATAATTATTTCCATTCAGTGATAAATACATAACTGTAATTTTTTCAGTTTTTAACAATAGGATCAGTATGTGGTACTCTGCTCCTTCTGATGGGGTTATTACAGATTGAATTACTCAACTGAATTATTTCAATTATTTCAAGACATTAAGATGTCTTACTTCAAAATTGATACTTACTAACAGGTATTCATGTATTAACACCTTAATTTATTTCAAGCAGATTGACATTAAATAATTCTTTGTGGGAATGATAAACCCCTAGATTCCCATACCTAATTTAATTAATTAAGACTGTATGTAGCCTGAGACCTTAGGATGTACACCTGATTTAAGTTTCTCTCCTATATGTGGATTCCTAACATGCATTAGATCAGGTAGTTGTCTGGCAAGCACACTAACTTTCCTCAATAAGGAAATTTCTTACCTTAAGAAAGCAGAATATTTAAACTCCTAGTTATCTATATTAAGAATAACTAGCTGACCCACAACAACTAAGAACAAGGCATTTTATAGATTTCATTTTGCCTGACAAAAGAGAGCTAAATCTTATATATTTAAACCATAGATTCACTGTAAAATAATTTCCTACATTGACTTAGATCTTTGAGAATGTAAAAACCTGTGAAGTGACATGCAGAGACAATGCTGTATTAAGATATTCAGAACCGAAATATAATAAAAGTTGGCTACAACTTGGATAGAAGTATTTCTGAGAACTGCCAAATCTTTAAAAAGGCAACAATCTATTTTGCAATTGTCTTGTGAAGGGTGCCCTAATAAATTGTATCACTGCTAGACACTAATAGTACTGATCAGGAAAAACCTTAGTCTAGAGAGCATCTAATTCTTTAAAGTTGGCACACATTCCCCCAATATCTGGATGCCTATGATAATAAATACTCATGAATATACAGATCTGGGAGACAAGAATGTTCTTTACAACAAGGCTGTCTTTTTTCAACTGCTACTCAATAGAGAAAAATTTATGTGTATGACTCAACTTTTCAAGATTAGATAAGATGTATATTAACAAATACAAAAAAGAATGATCTAATAAATAAATGTAAGAACCAAATCTACAAGATCCTTGTGCAAATTTAAACTTAATTTTTAAATATACAATGTGTTATAATTACAGTGACACTTTACTGTTCAGTTGGAAATACTTAAATCCTTAAAAAAGGCTCCCCAAATATCTGATTGTTATAACACTTCTGCTGTGGAAATCAATGGCATGTAATGCAGTATTAAGATTTTAAGTGTATAGGGCAAGAAAAAATCCTGTTATGGCAATCACTTTCATTTTATAAGAGCCTAACATGCTACATAATGTCAGGCACATATAGCAACAATATGGCTTCCTCCAAAGCCTGACTGGCGATGTGATCCACAACTTTTATAAATATTTGTAAAGATTTGACATGGGACAGATCATGGGATAAGGGGACTGTATAGGAGGGATGGAAGAGGATCAGTATTGTTTTAGTACACATATAAGCAGTATTAACACTGACTGTAACTTCTCTGTAGCAACATACTCTTCTGTTACACTTTAAGATTTGAATACAACCTTCATTGTAAGCCACCTGAGCCATTTTGAATTGGGCGACCATATGCATTGAAGAAATAAAATAATGTGGATTAAAGAATAAAACAGTTATTAAACTATTTTATCCCACTCTTCAGTTCACAAAGGAACTCAACATGGCCTCAAAAAAGCAGTAAAAAAAGAGCCAGTTTGATCTAGTGGTTAAGGCACCAGGCTAGAAAGCAGCAGACTGTGAGTTCTAGTCCTGCCTTAGGCATGAATGCCAGCTTGGTGACTTTGGGCCAGTCACTCTCTCTCAGCTCAACTTATCTCACAGGGTTGTTGTTGTGGGGAAAATATGAGGAGGAAGGAGTAATAGGTATGTTTGCCGCCTTGACTTATTTATAAAAATAATAATGGTGGGATAAAAAATCTAAAAACAAAACAAAACAAAAAAGATAATCTCTGCTCTCAGATTTACAATCTAAAACAGGTAACAGAAAAAAATGGGATTGAGAGGGAAAAGAAGCAAACCTTAGTTCCTATTGACATATTTGATTAGCCCTGTCCCACTCAAACTTTCAAAAATTACTTTGATCCTTTCAGGATAGAAACCTCAGCCTACTGAATCTGCCAAAAGCAGAGAGCAAATAACAGATCTGGGGAGAGGAGAAGGAAGGCAATGTTGTTACATAACTGATAAGATGGATTCATCTGCTGCAAATGACTTTAACTACTGCTACTAATTAAGATTTTCTAGTCCATTATGTTTGATTTCCAAGTTATTCCATATGTCAATGTTTCTTTGAATTGCCAAAGAGAAAATATAAAGTAGATTATCAACAGTTCATAATATGACCACTAGTTTTGTGGCATTGTCCTTTCTGGTCTTCGAGGACAGATAATTGGAGGGTGCGTAAACTTTAAAATGCTTTAAAGGAAATATTCACACACCTGATAATATGATTTAATTTGCCTTATTAAAATAGACAAATTTTGAATTCGAAGTGATGCATCATTGTTGACCTTCTTATTTATTCTTTGACTGGCTGCTTTAGGGTTTCTGAAATAAAAAATGAAATAAACAAGCACTGTCAATTTATCTGAATTTCACAAAGGAAAATTTACAGAGCAGCAAACAGTAAATCCTAAAACAGAGAACTCAGACTTAATTTATAATTTACATAATGTTGGAACTACACAATATGCGCATTAAGCATTGTTTACCGTACAGATGTTAAGTGTTAATGCATATATCAAGCCTTTTGTTGCCTGAGTTTAATTATTTTTAAAGAAGTCACAGGAGGAGAACCTTAACATGATTTCCGCTATAGCTGAACGCCCAGAATACATGGAACAAAACATAGGCTGAGGGAGAGCCATTTAACAGAAAGAAGCCTGGTGATATAAAGGGCATTTAATTGCCATGTTATATTACATTTGTGCTCTTTCCTGCTTTGAACAAACATACAATATGTATACAAACATAAGGATAATTTTCCAGAATTGGGGAAACCCCAAACATATAATATAAAATAGTCAGTCTGAATGTAATTGGCAAACTGCATTATAATACAGTAAACAAGATTTGAGAAAACATCTGAATGGCTATAAGGACAACTAAAGAGATTTGGCAAGTAGAAAAGATTCTTTATTGTAGATATACCCAATCTTATTAAGATAAAGACCAGCTTCTACAAGATTATTTGCTTCCATACATGTAAGTGCTGCTCCAGGGCTTAAACCCTAAGCTTCTTTTCTCCAGTCATTTTTGTACCAGACAGCCGTTTCTCACACTACTAGGCTATTTACAGCTGGCCCATTTTTACATAATGGTGTTGTCTGATCCGAGGATAATTACTGCCTTGTCAGCTCCAACTCTCACATATATGTTACCTAGAGTAACGTCCTTTATTATAAAGGACAGTCCTTTATTTCAAAAAGCTGTCCTTTACATTTATTTAATGTTTTATTTTCTTGGTTTTGCTCTTGAATTTTCCTTTGTAAAGCAAAGTTATAAACATAAACCATTTTTTTATCATTATGAACCTCTTTCAGATTTGTCCCCCTTTCAGGTTTTTCCTTTATTTTTTTTTTCAAGAAAATAGGGTCACTGTAATGTTACCAGTTGTGAGAATAATCTGTCTATTGGCTCCCTCTACCACCAGGCCTGCCCCACCCAACTAGGACAAGGATACAGTAGTGACTGCCTTCAGTTAGGACTTGCTGCTGTCACCGTTTTTTCTTCCCCCAATCTAGGGTTATAGGAACAAAGCCCAAAGAAGCAAAATGCCTTCTCCTTTCTGTTAAACTGAAGAACAAAAGGGCGTCTTCAACCCATTATCTTGTAGTCCATCTGGAGAGGACTTCTGAGTCATGTTAGCAGGTTACAAACCCCAAGACACAATTTAGTACCAAAATATCTGTATAAAATAATATTTGGACTTTATTAAGAACACCCAACAGCAAACACAGATAAAGTTTAGATGTAAAGAAAAGGATTATACTTCAAATAGACCAGGGGAACATTAGCTAGGCCCATCCAAGAATGTAATTAGGCCTGAGACAAAAATAGCTTTGAGGTAAACTGATCATTTGCCTTGAACAAATACCATCTAAAATCCAACCTTAATGACACTTTTTCTCAGATTGTCACTTAATCTGTGTGTCTGCCTGCGTTTAGATTCCTTAGTGAGTCCTGGAAGATTTCATACCACCACCTGGGGGCAGCAGGCTTAGATTCCTGCTATTGCTCTTCAGGGAAAATTCAAAAGAAGCAAACTCTTCTAGTGTAGTAAACTCCTCCCTTGCTACTTAACCTCAAGGAGAAAGGGAGTTTGGGCTTGCTCAGGAATTCAGCCAACTGGTTCTCATAGGCTTATCTTACTATATATGTATTCTAACAGTACTATTAGAGATGCTCAACACACTGTCTACAGGGCCACCATCTTATCAATATTCACTTTCATTTCAGGCCCACAAACAGTTCATTACAGTTTCCAGATACTGGTAAACTTGCACAAGCTGATTCAGGTAGTTGATGGCATCTAATTTTAAAGCTCTACTGACTTTATCCATCAGCTTTATACAGACACTAAAGAACTCAAAAGGATAAATTAGACTGCTACAGGATTCCACAACACAAATACTGTGGTTTTGAGCAAGCCCTCCCCAACTCTCAATTTTAATGCGTGAAACCAATCATGCTAGTAGATGTTCAATCACTACATCTTCCCCCCATTCAAAGAATGTACCATGACTGACAGTATCAAAATTTACTACATTATAAATTAAAAGAACCAGTTAACAAAGAACAGTATAACATATGTACTTTGAGTTGTGCAAACTGAGAACATTGGTTACCAGTTTGCATTCAAGGTGCTAGTTTTGACCTTTAAAGCCCTTGATGGCACAGGGCCAGGTTATCTGATTGACCCCCTCTTCCTGATTACATCTGTCCATCCCATTAGATCTGGCAGAAGAGGTATCTTGCAGGTCCCGTCAGCTAAGGAGCTACATACAGAAGATGTGCCTTTTCTACCATGGCACCCAATTTAGGGAACATTATCCTCCGACGGTGAGATTGGCTTCATCCCTGTTAACTTTCCATAAGCCCCTGAAAACTTGGTTATGTCATCAGGCCTGAGGGTCCCAAGGGAGCTGCTGGTGAGTTAGTGAGGTAAGCCGCTGAGGCAGCTCCACTGTTGTTCTTTCCTTATCTTTTAATCATAATATTAATATTTTAATCAAAATAATCACTTTTAATCATAATCTTAGTGTTTTATTGTATTGTTGTACGCCACTCAGTCACATTTTGTGAGATGTGCGGTCATATAAATATGATGAGACAAACAAGCAAACAACCATGGCTAAGATTTTGCAGCCAAGATTATTTAGCTAACTAGTCTGATATGGCTTCCTAAATTGTCAAATCTAGTTCAATAGTAAGTTTAATAGGGAATTAGATGGAGTTAGATTAGAATTCCTGGATTCTTTTCAAGAATAAAAAGACTGCAAGAAGGATTTGCTTTTCCCCATCCTGTAAATGGTGGCTCTGATTTTGATTAGAGTTTTTGTTTTATTTAAAATGGAAATGCCAGCTAGCCACAACAAATGTGACCAGAGCTCCAGCTGAGGAGGAGGAGAACTGGCAAGCTGCTGTCAGCAGAAGTCTGCTATATCATCTATAGCTCGCAGCACGGTAGGTCTTTTACTTATGGTTAGTGGTAAGCTTTGCTTTGTGTAATGTGCATGATCATATTCCTTCTCAGTGATCCAATTGGAAAAACATATCCATTTTTGTAATCATCCATAAGACTTAAACTAACAGAATTCAATGAAGAAATATATAGATTTAGTTAAAGGATGACATCCTTCTTTTCAATGGGATGGCTTTCATCAGCAGAAAGAGGGCTTGATTTTTCCCTCAGCCCTTGTACCTCATATCCCTTAAAGTAGGGGAACAGAGAGAGGGAAAAGATGCTGGATGAACAGAATTTCACTAATTAACATTTGATTTCACTCAACATTTCTAGCAGATGAATTTTCAGGGAAATTATGATATGAGATTATAATTTAAATACAAATTGAAATTTATTCAATTTCTGCAGTGTTACTGGAAAAATATTTTTTAAAATATGTAACATTGTGCTACACCTCCCTTAATTTTTACTTCTGGTTCTGTCTGAGCTTTAGCAGTGCATTACTGTACCTAACACATGTATATTTGGGGGAACGGACCATACCTCCATCATAATAACACAGCACTTATTACATGTAAAGACACCCTCTGTATCACTGCTTAAAATTGGAGTAACAGAAGTGGGAGATAATTCATATCTGAAACCATGCAAAACTGCTTCCATGGAAGTTAAACAGTGCAAGAGTAAATGAATCAGTGATTTTATGTCAAAAAACTTCAAAAATATGTATCTAAAATATACAGAGATTCAACTTGGATATCAGATATACTTTTCTATGCAATGTAACCTCCCTCCCTTCCTCTTTCTTTGACAAGGCCGCCCAACTCCAAAAAGACTCTAGGTGACTTACAATATATTCAGTACATGAAGTGAAAAAAAAAAACACAACTAAAACAACACTGAATAACATAGCCCTAAATATTCTAAAACATGAACAATAAAAATACTGCTTTTAAAATATTTTAAATGCCAACATAAATCCTTTTTTCCTGCGCTGCACTTAAAAAGGAATATGGATGAAACAATTTCTCAGTAGCAAACTCAGTAGTCAAAATAGATAGATGTATTTTAAGGCAATGTTTCCTATATAGTTCAATAATTCATTTTTTAAAGCAGAGAAAGCATAGCAACATAGGGCAAATTTGTCTAGAAGTCAGTAATTAATCCAACTGTAAAAGCTAGCCTTAAGCTACTGTACTTTTAAAAGCAACCTACATATGACAAGTTACATTAATTTCAGTTGGGGAGAAAACAGACAAGAATACCCAGAATGTGATGTTTGTTAAAAAAAAAAAAAAAAAAGCATAGGAAATAGATAGAAATAAATCATATTTATTTGGGATATCTTCATTCAACAAAATATCACAAATAAGTATGAAGCTATTAAGCTATCAGATTTCTAAATCTAAATAGACCACAAATCAGTTGTGTCTTTTCTTCCCCATCTGTTCACTGAAGATACTTAATAACAAAGCATACTATTTTTCCATGTGAACTCTGAAAATTTATTTGTATAGCTATAGAAATCTAATTTATATAAACAAAATAAACTGTTCTATCATTCATACCTCTGTCAGACCTACATACAAATTACCTGTCCCTCAAATATTCAAGGCAGAATGCATCCCAAAGTAGTCTCTATTTTGCTTTTTTAACAGATTTCAACCCAACTTCACAGAACGTCTATGAACAGGCATTCATTGTTTTATAAATATATGAGATACTAAAATCCAATTAAACTATCTCATTGGATATATTAGTAGCTTCTTTCTTCATTAACTATCTAAATTCATATACTTTAGTATCACATACATTGATTGAGACTGTGAAAGAATTATATTACAACATTTCCATTTTTGGA